GCAAGAGTATAATCTTGATCTGGAAACCAAGATGCTTAAATACATGAAAAATGCCTCCTTTTAGAGATCAAAATTTAAAACTATTGATATGATAAATAATTGATGAGTGGGTGACCATATCTTGACTTTGTGACAATCCTTATCTTCTTGTTTGAATAAAACATCATTGATAACATTAGAATTGGAACCACTTATACTCATGAAAGTTCTAGAAAATTATCTCAGCTTTTTAGAAAAAGAAAAAAAACAATTGAGGTCATTCAGACTTCTAGAACTCAAGATATGGATTGAACACTAAACAGTATCTAAGCTGTAGGATAGATTCAGACTTCTTCATTGTTGCTATAATTTGAAATTGAAAATGACCTTTTTCAAACTAGACCTCCACATAAAAGTTGTAAGCCTATATCTCACCTTTCCATCCATATAAAGTAGACCTAAATTCGAGATCTACAGCTCTAGATATGACCTAATTACTGAATAGTGTCGCAGTTTAGACTACGCTAGCATCTCTTTTTTAAGTTTGATTATCTCTTTGTCCTTTCAATTTCAGTACTTGAACTCAGCAATCAATCCTTTCATTTATATGATAGACCTGCATTTAAGATGAAAATTTACCACAAATTAAAGATATCTTATATTATTAAATATGTTATTATAAAACATGCTTTAGTTAAGGAGTTATTGATATTTCAAGTGCAAAATGTTGATATAAAACCTTGATAAAAATACACTTTTAAGTATTAATCAGTGATCAACCCATATCTCAAATTCTAAAAGTCCAAATGACCTTATTTTTTTTGTTAGGAAGCTGAGACAATTTCTTAAAACTTTTATGAGGACAGTATATTCAAATTCTGATGTTAGCAATGATGTTTTGTTGAAACAAGAAGGTAAGAATTATCATTAGGTCTAGATGTGGCCAGCTGACACGACTAAAAGATTGATGTCTTCTCCCAAGTGCAGGAGTGTCGAAGTAATAAATAACCCGGCAAGACCGGGGTCGAACCACAAGGAGGTTAATTGTACAAATTATAAAAAAAAATTATAAAACAACAATAACAACAACAACAACAATAATAATAATAATAATAATAATAATAATAGTAGTAGTAGTAGTAGTAGTAGTAGTAGTAGTAGTAGTAGTAGTAGTAGTAGTAGTAGTAGTAGTAGTAGTAGTAGTAGTAGTAGTAGTAGTAGTAGTAGTAGTAGTAGTAGTAGTAGTAGTAGTAGTAGTAGTAGT